GATGGGAGATGTCAGACAGTGTAAGATAAGACAAAATAATGATAATTTATAAATTATCAAGGGTTCATGAGGGAGGGGGAGCGGGGAGGGAGGGGGGAAAATGAGGAGCTGATATCAAGGGCTCAAGAAGAAAGCAATTGTTTTGAGAATGATGATGGCAACAAATGTACAAATGTGCTTGACACAGTGGATGTATGTATGGTATGGATTGTGATAAGAGTTGTACGAGCCCCCAATAAACTTATTTAAAAAAAGAAAAGAAAAATGTAATGGAAAGATCATGGATTTTTTTCACCAGGAACTTTTTGAAGTTCCCTCATATTTCATATAAGTGGGGCCTTATGGTAGTTTTCCTTTTGTGTCAGGCTGATGGCCAGTTGAATAAATGATTGTATTTCATGCATGCTTCGATGCTCAAGGAGCCCTGGTATTTTAGAGCCAGGGTCAGGGCTCTGAACACACCCATATTTGTCTCTTCATTAATTTGTTTGCCACGAGTGAAAACTGGGTCATCGCAGGACCGAGATGACAACATTCTTTAGGACAAGCATAGCTGTGAATTGATGTCCTACGTTGTTAGTGGCTCTGCCTGGCCTCCAGCCCAGGAGAAGGGAAATTACGTGGAGCAGGTAACAAAAAGACCACATGCCACCAGCCAGGCCCTCATCGCCCCTGCCCCAAGGATGCTTCGAGACGCCAGGCCCGGAGCAAGGATGGTCCAGGCTCCCCAGGCAGCTCAGTCGTTTGACCAGCCCTGTGTGAGTCAGAAGCTCCAGCTCTCTCCACGCCTGGTTAGAGACCTGGTTCAAATCCAGACTCAGAGGCAGGCAAAGCTCACTTCCGTGCTAGAGATCTGGCCAGGAATTCTTGCCAAGCCACCATGACTGCATCGTGTGTGTAGCCCTCGAGTGTCCCAGCTCCTCTCAGAGCCCTTCGTACTCACTGCCTCTCAAGGACTTCACTTGGCAAGATGAGATCAAGGGCAATTCTATCCTCTGTGGTGGTCTACTGTGGGTTGCTCACCATGACCCACAATGACACAGGCCCTTTAATTAGTGCTGGGAAAGTTTTGAATAGGACTTATATCCAAGTACCAGTGACTACTTTAAACAGATTGCTATTATCTTATGGGGGTCTTGGCCTAGTATGATTTAGATTCAGTTCTTTCAAGTTTAACTTTTTTTTTTGCATGCTTTTGATGTGCGTTGTTTGTTAGCTGCTGTCTAGTTGGCCTCAGACTCAGGGCAAATCCGTGCACAATGAGACCAAGCCATTGCTATCCCTAGTAGGAAGACACATCCCCAGGGAGCCCTGACCACAGGCCACTCCCCCTTCTTCTTGCCTTTTTCTTCCCCATTGGGAACTGCAACCTGGAGAACGCCTAAAAATGGCCAGCCTGTTGGTAGGATTCCCACCTTATGACTTTTACTTCAAAGGGGGCAGAAGCTATAAGAATGACCCATAGCCTACTAATATTTTGTTCCAATTTTCCTTGTCATTGCCTTAGATAATGCTAGGGTTTGGGGGTCGAGATGGAGAGGGAGGTACTAATCATTAGAATGGAATCATAAACTATGTTTCTTCAAAAGCCAGAAAGCATTGTGAAAGACAGACTGCTCAATATGACCCCATCGCTCAAATGCTTTGAATGGCTCACGGTTTTAAAAACACCCCAGCTGCTGTTCGTCCTTCCGGCAACTGACCCAGGGAAGGCAAATTCAATACCGATGGAGGTCAGGGCGGGAAGCCAGTCCTG